GTGTTCTGTGGAGGCCGTGGGTGCCTCCATGGAAATCCGCGTGGCACCTTGGGCCGGGGGCACTTCTAGAAACGCCCGACTCCCCAGACATTCGACGTCACGAGTCCTTCGAGACGCGCTCCCCCGACCTCCCGACCACCGCCCCGAGAACGGGGTCTCAGCCCGAGCCGGTTTCTGACGCTCCCGAGGCCCGGGCGAGGGCCCCGAGAGGCCAACAACTGAGAAAAAACACCGCCTCGTTTTTGCTGGGTCGAGGGCCCGATGACGGGCCTGCTTTCCACTACCACCACCACCATGAGTTGGAGGGGGAGGGGGTCCTCCTCCTCCACCTCCTCCTCCTCCTCGTCCTCCTCCTCCTCCTCCTCCGCCTCCTCCTCCTCCGCCTCCTCCTCCTCCGCCTCGTTCCTCCCTCCAACCTATGGTGGTGGTGGTGGTGGTGGTGAAGACAGGCCGATCACCCGAGGCGCCCGGCCGAGGCGGGGGCTCCGTCACAGGAAAGCCGGCGGGCGGCCGCTCGGCGGCTGCCTCCGCCGGGCGGGCCCGCGCCGGGGCCGCTGGGCTGCCGGCGGCCACGGCGGGCGACCCGGCGGGAGGAGGGCCGCTGGGCGCCGCGCTTGTTTAGGGCGCCGGAGGGGGAGGAGGAGGAGGAGGAGTGGGAGGAGGGGGAGGAGGAGGAGGAGGAGGAGGAGGAGGAGGAGGAGGAGGAGGAGGAGGAGGAGGAGGAGGGAGGAGGAGGAGGAGGAGGAGGAGGGTACTGACTACGCGGGCGCCACGTGGCGCCCCTGGCCGCTCCGCCACGAATTAATCCTCTGATTAATTCAGACTCCTCAGGAGCTCTCTGACGGGACCTCTCCCACCGCACAAGCTCCTCAGGCGAGGGGAAACCATACAAGTTGGCAACACTGGTGGCGTCAAGACAGGGAAGGCATAGCAGTCTGCTGGCCTGCTTCGCCTCCCCTGCCACGCGGGGTCTCCCACTCCCCGCCGACGCTTGGGGCTCGACCCACCCTTCTTCACCTACAGAATCGCTGCTAGTAGCAGCAGCAGCAGGAGCAGGGGCAGGCTCAAGGAGTGGCCCCCAAACAGCACGCATCTGCAGGGTCGGCCCATGGGCCGCCCCTACTCGAGCATTCCCAAGGGCGTGCCCTGGGAACAGACCTCGGCGGAGCCTGGACCTCTGGGTCTTGAGCCCAGGATGACCCGCTCCCTTACATTCTCCCTGCAGTCCCCGAGCGTTAGAATGCGCTGAGGCACCGCAGATCTTGCAGAATAATATTGGCGACAGTTCCTGGCTATGATCTGATGCGACGCTGCCCTGCGCAACGCTGTGCCCTCGAAAAACCCAAGGTACACCTGTAGCAGCAACAAAGCCTGCGTCGACATCATGGGGTTCTTCCGTAACAGCAGGGGAGGAGGAAGGACTCGGAGCAGAGGAGGGACCAGTCTCATTCCCCTCGGCCAGGGACCAGTCCCCAAACGGCGCCCTGCCTTCCTCCAGACAGGCACGAATTAGATACTGGGGCAAATCTTCATCTAGCACGATGTCCCCTGTACCAGAAAGATCGACATAATCTGGCTGCTCTAACTCTCCGAAACAAACTCCTGACACCTGCTCTGCCAGAGCACTATGTCCGAGGCAATTCTTTCACACCCCGAGACAAAGTCAAGATGGTCTCGAAAACATTCCAAAGCTTAGCTCCAGCCTCGGCCCACTTGTCAGCCAAGGCATTGCCCTTGATGAGCCACGCATCATGATCAGACCTAGAGTCCCTTAAACTCCTGTGGGCAGCTACCTTGACAATCGAAGCCTTCCTACCTAAATCGGACCACCAGGTCCTCCACATGTGCGCACGTGCACTAGAACTGGCCAAGGCAACGCTGGAGTCAGCAGCACAACCGAAGGAAGCAGCACAATCGGCGTGCACAACTAAGGGATCATCAACAGACCACTCTGCAAACAGAGAGAGCATATGGAAAGCCCAGTCCTCCCCGCCGCGGGCGGACTGCGAAGGCGCCTGGTGGAGCGGCACTGCGCCGTACATGGCTCCGACGAGCTCCCCAGCACGATTGACCTGAATCACGGCCCAACCTGCCCGACTCAGTCCCTGAAGATGAGCGTGGAAAGCAGAACCGTCAACAAACGCGGAGCCCGAGAACCTCCAACCAGGAAAAACACCGACAAACCGCACTCGATTTTCTTCAGGGACTTCCGCCACGGGGAGGCAAAAGGAAGGCGAGGGGCAGAGACAACGCGCCATCGTCTCTGCGGCTTCCTCACCAAGGGTTCGCACATACATGGCTGCCTGCATTACATGGGTCGGGCATTCCTCGCGACGAGGAACGGCGCTCCGAGGGCAGTCGTAGCCTCGCATGCCACAGTGCAAACAACGATCATCCCCCGCCTTTCCGCGCGCGCGCAAGCGCGCCTGGGGCCAGTGTGACCCTCCTACCGGGACTTCTGATAGCAGCTGCTCGGTGCGCACCCCATCGCTCCGAATAGTCCTGCTCGAGCAGCTTGCCGACAAGTCCCCAGTGCAACGGGTGAACCCAGGGCGCCTTCAAACGTTTCAAGGCGTTGACGTCAGACGCCTGAAGGGCCAGGGGCCGAATCAAACCCACGAAAAAGCAACGCGAAAAATCCTGAATCTTGAAATCTCCGAGTCGGGGATGCCTCAGACTTTCTACCGCTGGCAACTGGCATCCGACCCTGGCGAGCGAAAGGACCGCCGCCTGAGCTGGATCTACTACCTGGGCCCAAGGCCTATCTTTGAAGAGGAGCGCCTGCGCTTCCTCGAGACACGCCCGAAGCGGACCTATGCCTGGCATACAGGAATGTACACTCAAAGCCCAATGCTTGACTACATCACAGACATGCACAATCCAAGGGTCCCTGGTGGACCCTCGCTGCGTCGACCTCAGACGAAGCGCCACAGAGGTTCCTGGAGGGACTCTCCCTTCTGCACGCAACGAAGCAAGTCGCAAGGCGGCTAGCTTAGCGTCAGCGATGCCAGTGACCGCCGCCCCCCACACCGCCGTCGCCGTAGGAGACCCCCTCATGATAGTGCTGACACTAGCTCCTGTCTGCCTGAGCGAAAAACACGCTTTGAAACCGATGACGCTTTTGCCAGACGTTTGTTCTGCTCTTGAACACTCCTCGATGCGCCATCAGTGGCATCCGTACCCAAACACCTACTGCTGCGAAGCTTCTGCTCATGGCCTGGGCTCCACCTCTCGCTTAGCTCCGAATCCAGCTCCGCTGAACTGGCCATGCAACCCGTCTTGTCCCAGTTAACAACAAGCTGCATTTGCTGAAGAGACTCTACTAATTCTGACATGGCTTGTGGAAACTGCTCGAGCACATGCTGCCTGCCTCCAATCGAGTGGAGCAGGAAGCCATCTACTAGGTTTTGGAACCTCACCATAGGAAACATAGCCTTTAAGCGTGACAATCACTGTATGCACTAGAAGCTTTGCCAACGCTGGGGCACAGCTACAGCCTGCTGCCACAGCACCATTGGCTCGGACCTTGTCCGGGATGAACGACTTCCACCTGGCTCGCCTGGGCAATCTATACCCTGCACAGAGACACTTGCGGAGCCTAACTGGGAACCCTGTGGCCAGGGCCTCCCGAAGAAGATCTTCATGGGAAATGTGTTCATAATAATTCGGCAGATCTAAAATACCGCTGGCAGCCGAAAACCCTTTGAGTCTGGCGAAACGCTGCGCCATGTTGTGAACATGCCCTGCTCTGTCGCAGGTCTGTCCAGAAACTCACCAGAAGGAGTCAGTGTTTAGAGACAATTCCCAATTCCTAGCAACGGGCTGCCTGAGCCTAGACCAAATACGCCCCCAGATGGAAGCCAGCACAATGGGCCTCACTCCCGTGGGCGGCGCGGGTTGGCCCAGGAAAAAATGAGGAGGGTCCAGAGCTCAAGATCCTCAGGATCCGACTCCCATTTCATAAGAATGTCCAGGAACGCCTGCTTGCACGAATCTGGGAGCCTGAGAACCTGCCCCGGGTGGAGGCGGTCCCGCCCCAGCCCGCAGGACCCCGAGTAGGAAGACATCGCAGAATTCAGCTGCGAGATGGTGGCCAAGGGCCCAGACCCCCAGAGGTCAGGAACCCCTGGTCGGAAACAGCACCACAGGAAGCCCCCGAAGGCCTCACAGGCAGGGCCCCAGGACGCCAGGACCTCGGGTGGGATCCACCATCTCTCTTAGGAGCATTCCAAAGCGGCTCCCACTGCTCTAGAAGCGCGTCCACTGCCTTTTGCCCCGAGACAGGCAGCGGCGCCGCAAGCTCCGTGGTCTCCGAAAAAATCTGCGCGCCAGGCAAAGGCTCTCGAACATACGCGTAAGCAGCCCTTCCCCCCTGATTCTTGACGGCCTCTCTGGCCCAAGCCCTCCAGGCTTTGGCGCCAGCCGCCCTGGCCTTCGCTTGGAGGTGGGAGAGGTGACCCCTCAACCCAAGGAGGAAGGAGAGAGCCTCGCCCCCTCCATCAGAGAGCAACCTCACTAGGGCACTCCTGGGCGCGTGCTGCCACCTCTCGAGCGGCCCCTCTGTGGGCCACGAAGGGATGCGAATTCGGGCGACCGTGCGCTCTTGCCGCTGCTGAGCGGCAGAATGAAACTATTTCTTAGCTCGGGACTCAGAACCTATGGCATGCAGCCTCATGCGCGCCGAATAGAATGATGTCCACTTCCTGCCCTCAATCGCGTTGTTCTGGCGCAGTTCACTCTTCCAGGCTTGGTCAAGCTCCACATACTGAACTCGTAGCCCATCAGCTCTGCCAGCATATGGCTGCCCACGCCATCCTTGAACGCCATGGAACTCCAGAAGCTAAGCTTCCACATGCCAAAACCAAACTTGACAGGCTTGCTGGAGGTCAGGTGGGTACTCCCACCCAATCTGCCACGGCCACTGATCCTCTCGAGCTTCGAGTGGTGCACAGCGTACAGGAGGGGGCTTCTCGATGGGGAACTTCTTAGGCACCAGCATCCTAGGAACTTTGACCTGCACTCCTATGCCACTGAGCTTCAAAGCAACTGGCGCGTGGGACTTTGCTGGAGCCTCTGATACTAGGTAGACAGATTCCGCAAACGGGGCCAGAACTCTGCTGCAGATGAAGAAGTCCAGCTCCCTCGCTCCGCAGGTGGGCCCTCCGGAGGCGATGATTTCACCGTGGACTAGCTTGGCCCACTTGTCTACGTCACTTGGCAACATGTTCCAATCCGCAGCCACTATCCAGGGAAACTGAAGCTTGCCAGCTGCTTGAAACAACTTACCCAGGAGCTCAATGTTCTCTCCTGCGAGGCCAACGCTGGTGTGCAAGTATACCGATGCTACCACCCAGGGAATAGAAAGACCAACATTGATCATAGATGCCGCAATCCTGGAAGACGGCAGCTCCTTTCCACGACTCAAATCCAACTTATCTGCTGGGAACTGACTGAGCACAACGCACCCCGCACTGGACTCCGTAGGGCCTGGCCCAGTACTGTTTGCTTTGGGCATAGAGGCTTGAAATCCACGCTGCTGAGCCCACTTGACGGCACTCTGGTGCCTGAGCGCATCCTTGAGACGGTGCTCCTGAAGGCAAAGAACATCAGGTAGGACTGGCGCGCCTTGGTGATCATGCTTCGCCCATTCCAGCATGGCCTGCGCAGCTGACCACGTGCTAGGATTGCGCGTCCAAATGACAAAACTGGATGTGCTGGGTGGGTTGCTACCCCACCCGCTGACGCTTGGCATGCCCTGCAACGTCTGCAAGGAACCTGCGCAGGGCCTCTGGATCATCAGCGGAGTCGAACCCTGCTCGCTTGAGCTTGGCCTTGAGCTCATTGTCGTCTGGGTCGAGGACGATGATGTCTGGGTCTGACCCCCCTGCGCCACTAGGAGGAGCAGCATCCCCAGTAGCAGGCGGAGGTGGGGATTGCTCCTCCGCCTTCGGCAACTTCGCTGCGAACTCCGCCTTCTTCGCCTCCGTGGCCTCCAGGACCGCTGCGGCATCGATGGCGAAGCGTGAAGTGCACTTCCTGACAGCCAGCTCCAACACTTCAAGCATCTGGAGCTCATGGATTGGATCAGGCTCGCCATCCTGCTCAGGCGGCTCTGGCAGGACGGTGGCAGCCTGGGCCTTCTTGATGAACTTTTCGATCTCCGAGAGAGTGTCCTGGTGGGCCTTGGGCTGCTGGCACTCCTGCTCGTAGACACGCTGCGCGTCCTCGAGCGCGGCCTTGGCATTCTGCACTCTCTCGGCGGAACCATCAATCTGCTTGAGTTTCCGCGACTGCCTCTGGAGCAGGTCCTGCAGCCCTTTGGAGCCGAGGTCTGCTGGCCCAGGCTCCTCCGCTTTCTTGAGCACTTCGGTAAGCTTGGTGTCAAGCTCCGAGCCCGCTTGAAGCCCTCGTGACTTGAGCAGCTTGATGAGGTCTTCATTTGACAGCTCCGCGGTGCTGGGATTGGCGCGCCCTCCAGCCCTTGAGCCGCCTTGGCTCTGGAAGGCAGGAGGACCGTTGAGTCAGGCATTGCCCCGCTGCGACTTGCCTGTCCAACCCGAGGCTGTCTGCTGCCGCTGCTCTCGTTGCTGATTGATGACATGTTGCGGCGCCTTCGAACCGCACTCCCGACAGGCCGACCTGAAGAGAAAGTTGGCGAAGGCACACGTTGAGTCGCGACACAGCCAGGTCTTGCTCTGGTCCTGCCCCGGCGCATCATGGGGTGACATGTAGAATCTCAGACTTTAGGCTCGAGTCGGCTGCGCCACTTCCAAGTGCGCCGACCCAAAGGTTGCAACCTTGACACCTGGAAATGGCTAGGAGGAAAAGGAGGAGGAGGAGAAGGAGGAGGAGGAGGAGGAGGAGGAGGAGGAGGAGGAGGGGGGGGGAAGGAGCGGGCGGCAGTTCGCCGGGGGGGGGGGACGCATGGGGAGGAGGGAGGGGGAGAAGGGAGATGAAGGAGGGGGAGAATGGAGATGGGGAATAGAGGATCGAGGCTCGGCGTTGAAGCACGGCCGTCGTTCTTCGCGGGCCTCCAGGGGCCCGATGCCGCGAACGGCCCGGCCGAAGGAGGGCCGTCGGGCTGTCTTGAAAAAGGAAGGCATATGGGATCGAGACGTTTTGACGTCGTTCACGCTTCATTGGCCTCCAGGGCGGCCCCCGACACCACAACTGGACCTACTTTGGTTCGCCCGGCGCACATCACCTCTTATAACCTACGTTATAACCACTTGCACGATTAGGCGCTGATCAGTTGAGTATATTTTGAAATCTGTTTCCAACGTCAATACATCCGAAACTACGTACGATCGCATCCAGATCACATGTCCGCTAAGTGGCACTACTGGTAGGCTTGTTGTTAAGTAGTTTATAACTGGCCGTAAGTGTTCATAAGTGGTACATGTGTGTTTTCTTGCGTGGCTTACAACAACGCCTTGCTCGAATGCACTTCGCGATTTTGATCGCTCGTCGAGGCCGCGCGGCAGCCTACCCCAAAACTACATGGGCACGTGCGCGCGCGAAGCGCTGATATGTATATATATATATATATACATACATACTGGCCGTGCCATGCGCGAAGCGCTTGTATCTACACAGCCGTCCTATTACTTCATGCGTCTGGGTTGCGGCGGCGACGACGGACGACGGCGTCGACGACGCCGAAACGAGCACGACGACGAACGACGACGAGGGGCGACAGTGACGACGACTGCGGACGGACGACGACGACCGAGCAGGCTAAAATGCCTAACCGAATCAGGTCGGCGGAATGGCGGCGCAGCCTTGATATAATAGCGTGGTACTTATATGTATATATATACACATATATCTATCTATATGTATACCGCCGCAAAGCACGGCACATCGCAGCATAACCTTGCGCGCATGGATCAGCATAGCACATAGCACAGCATAGCACATAATAGCCCAGCATCGCACAGCACAGCACAGCATAGCATGCCAAGCCGCAAGGGGTCGGCGGCATGGCGGCGCAGCCTCTTTAGCTCGGCACTTTATATCCGTCCTGCCCAGACGTGGGTGGAGGAAGAGGCCCTCCTCCCCCCTCCTCCTCCTCCTCCTCCTCCTCCTCCTCCTCCTCCTCCTCTCCTCCTCCTCCTCCTCCTCCTCCTCCTCCTCCTCATCCTCCTCCCTCCGCCCCCCCCCCGCATCTTTCCCGGCTGTTGTCGCTGCTGCTGCTGCTGCTCCTCCTCCTCCTCCTCCGCTCCCTTCTCCATCCCCCATCTGCCCTCTTACCCCCGCCTCACTCTCGCTCTCCAGCGGCGGCGGCAGCGACGACGACCGCGACGACGACCTCGATCTCCAACGGAAATCCGCCCAAGGGTCGGAGTCCCGGGTCCCGTCCTGAGGGGCCCCCTTCCAGGGTCCTCGGTCTCATCCTGATGAGTTTTCCGAGCCGCAGCCAGCCGCTGCGACGAGAGACGCCGACGACGCGCTCAGGGAGGATCAATCGAGCTCACGGGCCTGGCCGAGCTCATGGGCGCCCCACGGCTGGGATTGGGCCAGGGCAAGAAGGGCGGTGAGAGGGGCGAGGACAGGACTGGACGAGCATGATTAGGAAGGATTTCACTCTCGCAGAACTCCTGAGGTGAGCCTTCAGGGGAAATCAACAAATCAAAGCTGCCTGAGGTGAGCCTTCAGGGAAATCGAATCCACGACGCCGAGGCGCGAGCATCTGTCAGTCGGCTCGCACGCGTCAAACACGCGAACTCTCGAAACTCAGCGCAGCACAAAACAAACTCAAACGTTGCAGAACTCACGAAGCTTCTTCCAAGAAGCGCGGGCGGTAGACTCGTCCTCCGCGAACCTGAATTTCTTGTCGGCCTCTCTCCGGGCATGAGCGCCCGCCGCGCTTCTCAGGGCCATGTCTGTATACACCTTGCACTCGCCAACGAATGCTGGCGCAGCTGGCTCGGTCGGAAGCCCGAGGAAGGTGGCCCTGGAGCGGTACTCTGATTTCTCTTTTGCAATTTTGTTGATGACGGCCTTTGCCTTGGCCTTAGCCTTGGCCTTGGGGCTCTTGGCGGCGGCTTTCGGGGGGTCGACCTTCGGGCTCTTGCACTTCATGGGTTTCGGGCCCTTGCCTTTGTCCTTGCCCATGCCCTTGCCCCTCCCCTTGCCCTTGCCCGCGGGCTTGGGCGCGGCGCCCTCGTCCTCGTCGCCCTCCACCTTCCCGAAATCACTGTTCTCTGCGTACTTGCGGGCTTTCAAGGCCAGGGCGAGACGCTCGGCTGACTGCGCGGCTGACAAGCTCCTCTTGCGGGCGGGGGCGGCCGCTGCCAGCGGCGCCGCGCCTGCTGCTGCCGCGGGCGGCGGGCGGCCTGCTTCCGCCGCGGCCGCAGGCACGAGCGCCGGCAGCCCTGCTGCCGGCGCGGGCGGCGCTGCAGGCGCAATCGGAGGGGCCGCAGTCGGCGCGGCCGTCAAGGCTGGCGTCGCGCTGGAAGGGGCGTCCATCTGCAGGGCTGGCATCCCACCGACGGCGCCAGACGCGCCACTGCGCGCGCGGTCGCCGTGCACCACCAGTCCAAGGACGTTCGCGTCGCCCGCCCGAGGAACCAGTTGAAACGCCGCCATTGCCTGGGAAGAGCAAAAAACAGGAATCAGCAGCAGGAACAGGACAGCAGCTGGAACGCAGAAGGAGGAAAAGCAGGAGGAATACAGGGATGAGGAGCAGGAGGAGCAGAAGCAAGAGGAGGAAGACGAGGAGGAGGAGGACGAGGAACGGGAGGGCTCCAAGAGGGCTCAAAGACAGCCCAAGATCCACCGACGGATCGCCAAGTTGGAAAAACAATCCCCGGTCGGACCCCGAGAGGGCTCGAAGAAGGCTCCAAGAGGGCCCAGGATCTTGTTTTTCACGAAGTTGGAAAAAACAATCCCCGATGGGACCCCGAGAGGGCTCCAAGAGGGCCCAAGATCCACAAGTGTTTCGCCAAGTTGAAGACATGGTCCCCGATCGGACCCTCAGAGGGCTCCACGAGGGCCCCGAGAGGGGCCGGGATCCATGGCTTGTTCGCCAAGTTGGGAAAAAAAAACTGTTTCTGACATTCTCCAATAGGCTTCCACGAGGATGTGAGGTTTCCCTGTGAAAAAATCAATGGAAACGCCGCGGAATGGACTTTTTGGAGTTGGGCGCGCCCCAACTTCAAAAGTCTCCTGGGGGCGGCCCCACTACGTTTTTGTCCCACCCCTCTTGTGGTGTTGGGCCCTCGTTTTGAAGAGACGGTGCCCCGCGTCTCCTTCCTTCCTCCTCCTCCCGCTGCCTCCTCCCTCCGCCCTCCTCCCCCTCGTTGCCTCTGCTCACGGCGCACCCCTCGCATGTTTCGTAGCCCCATTGGGAGCTCCACCTAAGGGCCCAGTGGCGCAGTTCGCATGCGTCTCCCCCGCCCAGGACAATGTCTCGTGGCCCCATAGGGAGCTCCACCGAGGGCCCCAGTGGCGCAGTTCGCATGCGTCTCCCCCACCCAGGACAAGTTTTCGTGGCTCCATATAGGGTTGTCCACCGAGGGCCCCAGTGGCGCAGTTCGCATGCAACTCACCCACCCAGGACAGCGTTTCGTGGCCCCAGAGGGAGCTCCACCGAAGGCGCCAGTGGCGCAGTTCGCATGCGCCCCCCCCCCTCCCCCCCCATCCAGGACAAGGCTTCGTGGCCCCATAGGGACGTCCACCGAAGGCTCCAGTGGCGCAGTTCGCATGCGCCCCTCCCCCCCCCGCCCAGGACAGCGCTCCGTGGCCCCACAGGGAGCCCCACCGAGGGTCCCAGTGGCGCAGTTCGCATGCGCCCATGCGTCTCCCCCACACAGGACAGCCTTTTCGAGGCCCCATAGGGGGCCCCACCGAAGGCCCCATTGGCACAGTTCGCATGCGTCTCCCCCGCCCAGGACAGCGCTTCGTGGCCCCATATGGAGCTCCACCGAGGGTCCCAGTTGCGCAGACGCATGCGTCTCCCCCACCCAGGACAGCGTTTCGTGGCCCCATAGAGGGCTCCACCGAAGGCCCCAGCGGCGCAGTTCGCATGCGTCTCCCCCACCCAGGACAACCTTTTCGTGGCCCCATAGGGAGCCCCACCGAGGGCCCCAGTGGCGCAGTTCGCATGCGTCTCCCCCCATCCAGGACAGCGTTTCGCAGCCCCATAAAGAGCCCCACCGAAGGCTTCAGCGACGCAGTTCGCATGCGTCTCCTCCACCCAGGGCAGCGCTTCGTGGCCCCATAGGGAGCTCCACCGAAGGTCCCAGTGGCGCAGTTCGCATGCGTCTCCCCCACCCAGGAAAACGTCTCGTGGCCCCATAGGGAGTTCCACCGAAGGCCCCAGTGGCGCAGTTCGCATGCGTCCCCCCCACCCAGGATGGCGCTTCGTGGCCCCGCAGGAAGCTCAACCGAGGGTCCCAGTGGCGCAGTTCGCATGCGTCTCCCCCACCCAGGACAGCTTTTCGTTGCCCCATAGGGAGCTCCACCGAGGGTCCCAGCGGCGCAGTTCGCATGCGTCTCCCCCACACAGGCCAGCCTTTCGTAGCCCCAGACGGAGCCCCACCGAAGTCCCAGTGGCGCAGTTCGCACGCGTCTCCCCCATCCAGGGCAGCGCTTCGTGGCCCCATATGGAGCTCCACCGAAGACCACAGCTGCACTCGCATGCGTCTCCCACAATCCAGGGCAACGTTTCGATGCCCCACAGGGAGCTCAACCGAAAGCCCCAGCGCCGCAATTCGCATGCCTCTCCACCCACCCAGGACAGCGTTCCGTGGCCCCATAGTGAGCTCCACCGAAGGCAACAGTTGCTGCGCTCACATGCGTCTCCCCGACCCAGGACAGCCTTTCGCGGCCCGCAGGGGCCCCCGCCGATTGCGATACTCACAACGACGGTACTCACAACAGCACATGGTTGGGTCCTTCGCCAGGCGAATTGATAGGGAAGCGGGTGATTCGGGGCAAGATGGCTCCAAGGGGTGCCAGGGTCCACCGTTTTTCACCAAGTTGCAAAAAACGGCCCCTGTTCGGTCCCAAACTGCCCCAGGCTTTCCCAGGAACCCGGGAAAGAAAGAGAGAGAGAGAGAGAGAGAGAGAGAGAGAGAGAGAGAGAGAGAGAGAGAGAGAGAGAGAGAGAGAGAGAGAGAGAGAGAGAGAGAGAAAGAGAGAGAGAGAGAGAGAGAGAGAGAGAAGAGAGAGAGAAGAGAGAGAGAGAGAGAGAGAGAGAGAAGATAGAGAGAGAGAGAGGAGAGAGAGGAGAGAGAGAGAGAGACGAGAGATAGAGAGAGAGAGAGAGAGAGAGAGAGAGAGGAGAGAGAGAAGGAGAGAGAGAGCGTGAGAGAGAGAGAGAAGAGAGAGACAAGAGAGAGAGAGAGAGAGAGAGAGAGAGAGAGACGATATATATAGAGAGAGAGAGAGAGAGAGAGAGAGGAGAGAGAGAGAGAGAGAGAGAGAGAGAGAGAGAGAGAGAGAGAGAGAGAGAGAGAGAGAGAGAGAGAAAATTAGCCTGACGAGGGACCCAACCATATACAGGTGTGAGTACCGCAATAGTGATTCACTTTTTCGGTGGCGATCCCTATGAGGCAACGAACCGTGCTAGGGGTGTGCCGACATGAGTGGCGTGGTACACAACGCGAACGAAAACGATTGATCTGAGTACGTAGGGAGACTGAGCGCGGGTGAATCTGCGCGCGTGCGTCTGACTGTGAATGAATCTGCGTGCGAACGAGTCTACGTGCATGAATGCGAATATGACAAAGCGTGGCGCAATTGTGTATGAATGTCAATAGTTTGACAATGTCTGCCTCTGAGTACTCGTGACGCTGGGCGTGGCCGCCGCAAGGAGCTTCCCCGGGACTCCCCGACGGCATCGCCCGCGCGCCGCGACGCCAATGTCGGCGCGCCCACCGGCGAGGATCGCGCCCGCTTCCTCCCCTTCCTTTACTCCCTCTTTGCCCGCGCACTCAAAAGTCCAAGGTTGCGGGCGCAGCGCAGCGCGGAGTCCCCGCGACGCGCGCAGGTCGCCCCGGAGGGGTCCCAGCGACGCGCGCGGGTCGTCCACTGCGCGGAGCAAAAAGAGCTAGCTGGCTGGCTGATAGCGGGCAAGGCTCTTGCCGCTGGGCAGAGAGACGACGGGACGCATGCGGGCACACCCACTGGGACCTTCGGTGGAGCTCCCTATGGGGCCACGGAACGTGTGAGGGGTGTGCCGAAATGGGTGTGCGGGACGCATGCGGGCACACCCACTGGGACTTCGGTGGAGCTCCCTATGGGGCCACGAAACGTGTGAGGGGTGTGCCAAAATGAGTGTGCGGGACGCATGCGGGCACACCCACTGGGACCTTCGGTGGAGCTCCCTATGGGGCCACGAAACGTGTGAGGGTGTGCCGAAATGGGTGTTCGGGACGCATGCGGTCGGCAGCCCTGGGGCCTTCGGTGGAGCTCCCTATGGGGCCACGAAACGTGTGAGGGGTGTGCCGAAGTGGGTGTGCGGGACGCATGCGGGCACACCCCGCATGCGGGCCACACCACTGGGACCTTCGG